TATATATACGCACGTCTAGGCATACATTCACAACAGTGGTACTTTTTTCCCATTAAAAGTCTGCATTTATTAACTATGCTACAGTCTAAATAGACTAAAACTGTCTTCTGTTCTTCAGGTACCTGACATTCATCATGATTCTGGTGACAATTGTGGTTGTGAGTTGCGTTGTAGTATTGAACATGCATTTCAGAACTCCTAGCACGCACATCATGTCAGATTGGATGAAAGAGGTATGACCAAAATACAAGGATATTAATCCTTATATATAGCAAATCCTGTATAAATAGCCTAAATCTGAAGCTTAGACAGTAAAATGGTAGGAGTGAGTGAACAGTAAGTGACATTTTATGAGGGCAAATCTAGACACCTTTGCATTCTGATGTTTCCCATAGTCACTACATTTTTGTCCAGTTCACACTCATTTGTCTTGTATACTCATTTGTATTGTGTACTCTAACCATTAGATCCTACTGCCATAGTTCTTAATGCAAAACCCCAGGAATGACCTTCTATGGAAATTTACATTGGCCCAGCTTGGCTCAAGGTAAGTATCCTTATCTGATATACTGTACAGAGGGCTGCTTGGGATGCAGAAAATCACTGTAGTAGTCCCCACTACATATAGCCCTAGCCTTGATCTTCAGTGGTTTACCCTCTGCACACTGAACACAGGGAATTGCATGCTTGGCATTGTCCCCATTCAGAGAACGCCTTGTATTTTTTTGCAGTGGATATATGGGATTCTCTGATTGGATGAGGTGGAGAGAAGGGATTGATGACATCATGTTCTTCTCCACCTTTTTCAATCACAAAACCCCTTATTTATTGAAAGAAATGCAAGGCATTCTCTGAATGGCAGTGGCGCTGAGCGAGCATCTCCCTGTGTTCAGTGTGCTGAAGGGAAGTGGCTGGAGCAGCACCTGGATGATTCCTGTTATCACTGTATATAGCACGGACTACTAAAGTGATTTTGAGCATCCCCAGCAGCCCTCCAGAGATCATATATGGATATATTCACTTGAATATAAATAGCAAGATGACACAGTAAGAACATTGCTCACTACCAAGCGCAACATAATTGCTCACATATATGGATACTTACATCGAGCCAAGCTGGATCAATGTAAGTTTCCATAAAAAATAATTCCTGGAGTTCCACCCCAATTCTGTCCCACCACCCACCTTTGCTTGCTTCAGCACATCTTTTTGCATTCTCCACTATTTAAAATACATAGTCCAAAAAGTACAGTGGGAAGCGCAATGGCTGTATCAGGTGTATAGCCCCAGGGATCTCACCAGTAGATTCCCAAGATGACTAAGAAATTGTTAGGCTGTTTACCTATACAGCATCTGCTACAAACTGGAATATCAGTATTTGGCGGACTGTGAAGGGGGAACTCTTCCCAAATTGTTACATTGATTAGCAACCACTGAGGCAGGATAGCTTTGCCAAATGACGTAGAATAAACAAAGGATCGACACCAGGTAAATCTTCAAGAAGCAAGTTTATTCGGCCGCCTGGAGTGAGTTTACTCAGATGGCCAGTCGGGAATATGCAGCAGCTCAGGGACGCTCAAATAATATGGGCTCGCAGGTCACTTTTTATAGGGATTTGAGCAATAGAATCATCTGTTTCCTTAAACTATCTCCAAAAATCAGATAGTATTGCCACCCTTTACTCATATTAGATTATGCCGAGAACATTAAATGGGCCTTCTTGTCTTGATAAGACTCCCTGACATCAAGGTTAGAGGACAGCTGTCTTGGCATTGGACCTATTGTTCCTTAAAGGAGAACTTTTAGGTGAGTGCTTTTTACTCACCTCATAGTTCTAGCCGACCTGTGACAATGAGACTGTCACAGGTCGGCTCAGTAGATCGGGAAGTGAGTGAACACATACCGGCGTTCGCTCACTTCTCGATCCTGTCACAGCAGAGACTGGATTCTCCCCTCCCCTGTCCGATCCTCCAGCGCTGACTGGCGGAACGGATAGGGGAGGGGGCGGGTACAGCTGGCTCATAGCCCATAGTTCTCCTTTAAGCCAAGGTCAGAAAACTTGTTAATTACCCAGTATTCATTCTGGGTAATTACCCAGTATCCATTCAAACACAGCCCTGGGGCAGAGATGGTGTCCGGCCGCCGTTACCATCGGATCGGTATGCGGCGGGCCCCCCCCATCTCTGCGCTGGGAGTGTCCATTGATCACATTGGCTGACGGGCCCCCTGTGTATGTGTCCATCTCAGCACCTCCCCTGTGTGTGTGTCCATCTCAGCGCACGCGTGTACTCAGGCGGCTGTCTGCTGAGTCCTCACGGCCGAGGCCCAGGGCTGCCCCCTGCAGTGCCTGTAGGCTTTTTTTTAATTCTCGGCTCCCTCCACAGTTTTCGGCGGCCGACGGGCCCCCTCATCTCTGCGCCAGGAGTATCAGGTCTTTCC